GAGATGGGTCTAGGACGTGGGGAAACCCTTTGATGATGAGCAGAATGACTCTCAGCTGTCATCTCCTGCACAGGGGGCTCGTCTTGGGCTTGATTGTTCGTTACGGGATTCACGATCACATGAACTGGTTCTTCTTGACGTGGAGAGGTATGATGAGGTTGGGACGTTGCATGTGACGTCGCGGCATGTGTTTCATGATCATGATGAATATGATTGGGATGCTCTGTTGGGTTAGTAGTCAAGGGCATCGTGCTCGAGTTTCTAGGCATGGCTCGAGCTATTAATGAAGACAAACCCTGTATGAACTCCGGGTTTTGAAGGAAGTTTGTAATATTCGCGGCCGGAGGTGGTGGCGTTGTACGCCGCGGGGAATGATTAGTTGAATGGCTCTGCCCAGGGTGAGTAGCATGGTCTCGCCCAGACTGAGACATGATGATTCTGTGTATGCAAATGGTTTTAACAGCGAATGAAATATGACGCGAAGGTTCAAGCCGCCCTTCCTCTAGCGCCAAACTGTTGTTACATGGAATTAACAACAACCAAATTGGGGTGTATTTTAAGTAAATCTAAATGTTTAGCGATGGAAAGCCTGTATATTATATCTGGAAATGTAATTTGTAGCAGGATGGTATTCTTGTCTGTTTGGGAAATTCTCTATTTCCCTTTTATATTTACATACCATAATTATCTGTACAATAATCATTACATTTTGAAAGGTCAAAGGCGGTCCTTGGTGGTTTCTCTTGATAGCTTGCCACTTGGATAAACGTAATGATGAATTATGCTGAGTTGTCGCCGCCTTACCATGCTGAGCTGGCATGTTATAGATATCGGTCCACCCAATTATAACCGGTACGTCGTGGCTGATATGTAGTAACCGACATGTGTTGACCGACACGTGTTGACCGACATGTGATATCGGTCAACTTAGTAAGGATGTCGGTTTCTGCTGAATCTTTCATTGTGTAATCATCTTGAAGCTGGTGGAAGTGTCTCGTGCTTGTATGAACTCTAATCATCATCATATTGGTCTCGATCAACGGATTAGTGTCGCTTAATCCGACTTACAGGAAATGATATCAACAAAACTTAATTTTATATTGGAATAAGTGTTGGATAGTTGAGGAATTCCAACGGATTTTTTCCGTTGGAATAGCTGTAGAATTTATTTCTATAGGATTTTCCGTTGGATATTTGATATTCCAACAACCGTTTTTCCAACGGATTTTTAAATGTAGAAATATCCGTTGGAATAGCTATTCCAACGAAAATATAAAAAAATCAAACGGAAAATTTCTGTTGGAATGTAAGAGTTTTTTTTTGTAGTGGGTATTGTTTATATTTATTTACTAAAACATTGACAAAACGTTTTCTAAAATATTAATCAAGATTGAAGTGAAATGTAAATTTTTAATCTAAATGTGATATCTACGTTAAAGAAAATTAGAATAATTTATATATAGTGAACATGTATTAGAGTATATTTGACAATGTACCAAAAAAAAAAATATTAAAGTATATTGGATAAGTTAGTTTGGAGATATTAAAATTTATTACATTAAATTATCAACCCATTTTCCAATTTTTGACTTTCGTTACTAGCAAATTATTGCGAAAATAAAATTCCTAAGTTTGATAATTGATGCCCATATGCGGCAACTTTTTGGGGCTAAAATAAGAAAAAAAAAAAATGAGAAAATTTGTGTAATAATCGGGGATTGATTGAAAATTTGGGCAACAATAATATTTCAAAAAGTAGATTTTAAATATTGATTGTGTATGGACTGAGTTGTTTTATATACAAACACACCCTAAGTTGACCTTTATTGAAAAGTACACAAGTTAAGCTTTATAAGTTGTAATTATAGTTGGAACTTATCAATTATAAGTGGATTTTGAGTTTGTATAAAATCCAATAATCTAATTAGTTAATATTACTTTCTTACCGTGTATGTGCACGGACGAGGTAAACTCAATTATATTAAGCTTTGCATGAAGTATAAATTCAATAATATAATACAGTATTATTTATTATGAAATTTCAGTTGTATACAATATATGTATGTGGATCTGACCTCTCTATATAAAAATATTTATATCTTTTCGATATTTTATTTTTAAAATTATTAATACTGGTTGTTGACGATTATTATCTTTAGTCGTTTCCTCGATAAGTTCTTGCCTTGTCGGAGTGTTAGCCCTCGGTGGATCTGCAGGGAACTCCGGGGCATAAAGTAGCGCCGGCGCGCCGCGTGTATCCATACAAATTCTTATTTTGAGAATGAGAAAGTTTGGACAGTGTCATCAACTTTATCAGTTTCACCAGATGATGGTAGATCGTCAATCTTCTTCGAGAAGACTCAGGAGGTAATTGACAAGGACTGACGTCGGACGATCAAGGGATCAACATACCTATCTTTGTGTCTTGGGCTGTTTGCGAGATGGTCTTCATGACTTATGGGTCGTAGAACGGATTGTTGTAGGCCCAACTTTCCACTAAGCTATATCTACCTTAGTTTGAGAAATTTTTGGTTCAACATATTAAATATCATATATTTATTTATCACTTAATTTATGTTGTTTGTTATCATATGATATATTTTTGTAGTGAAATTATGTGTATTTGGAAGAGTGGCGGTTTAATAAAAAGTGGCGGTTTAATAATTTGGTGCATAGTAGTATTGTCTGGGTCATACAAGAGATGAGGAACCGTGAATGGACTGTGGACATACGACATGTCTACCGTGAATCAAACTTTTCGGCTGACCATATGGCCTCGCTTGCGGCGTCGGGCTCGGGCCCTAATGGATTGCAACGTTTAGAATTCCCGCCGGCGAGAATGAAACTTTGGCTCGAGCACAATGTTGTAGGGGTCGCCTACCCTCATTACCCAAAAAAAAAAAATAGCCGGAAGACTGACTCTTAAGTAAATAATTTAATATAATACTTATTACAGTTACTAGTCGGGAAATAACGGTAAAACCCTCTTTTTCTCTTCTCCTCGAATAACGTACAAAGTATTATTATCTTGTCCAATTGCCTTTTCACTTCGCACGGCATTAATTTTTCATCTATGCCAGTGTTAATTTTATATATAAAACCCGTTAGATTAGTGAAAATTACGGGCTTTTCAGTTTCATGTTTACTGTTCAGGTGAACCAAGAAGAAGAGCAATAATGGGAGGATTTTGCAGCGAGGACCTATCATTTTCGTCAAATTACAGCTTCTCGAGCTCTCAAGATCTCAGATTGTCCAAGCACGTCCATGACAATGTTCATAACAGCATTTATCTCGACCCAGTAACGTTTTTCACTTCTGTCTATTTTTGTGTGTTTTGTTTTGTTTTGTTTGTGTGTTCAATTTTAGCTTATTCATGCTGTTTGATGTGTAATTTTCTTGTTTTTATGTTTGAATTTGGTACTTTTGGTGGTTGTTTCTAATGCAAATGTAATTATTTGTTCAAATTTATGTTATATTAGGTTATAGATTTTGATTTACTGAAATTTGAATGCTCTTGTTGTTGTCTGTAATCGGTTCCTGATTACTTGAATTTTGAATGTTTGCTGTATATGTGTAGTTGTGGGCTTTATTGTGCTTGCTTTTCTTTGTTGATGTTATCAATAATGATCGATATTTGAAGTTATTTTCATTTTTGAGTTCTATTTCCTTATGCAGTTCAGTACCATCAGCTTAAGACTAAAATTTCATTAGATGTTTTGTGGAGATGAAACAAGTTTTGGGTTAATTTTTTTGTTTTTTGCAGCTCGTCTTGAAATTCGTTGACACTGAGCAGTTTCAAAGGTTAACATCAATTTGCCTTTGACAGTTTTGATGCTCAATCTTTCACTCATTTGCCGTAAATCGGTGCTTCTTCGTGCATCACCATCAATGTTCTTGTGATAATTCAGTTTCTAATATTGTACTCATTATGATGACAGGCTGCGTGATCTTAAGCAACTAGGTATGCGAAATTTGGCTATTTTCATTCTTACCAATCCTTTTAGAAGTATTCTATGCTTCACTCTCGAAACATTTGTATAGGGTTGTTTTAGTTTTTTATGAACTAGAGATCACTGGAATTTCCTAATAGGCTGATTTATTATGCACTTTTATTCTTTGTTATTAAAATCATAGATGTTCTTGTATCTAAATATTGTTAAGCTCTACATTAGGTGAACCTCTTTTAACCTTTTAAATTTAACATTAGATAAGTTGAATGGTCAACAGGTCGGGTTGGGCCTATTTTGTTGCATTGTTAGAATTTCAGTTTGTTTAGAACTTGTTTTTGAAGAATGGCTTTGAAGCAACCAATAGCAATGCATTTTGTAATTTATTTTTCAGGGATGGTCCATATGGTTTATCCAGGAGCTGTACATTCTAGGTTTGAGCATTCTCTTGGAGTTTACTGGCTAGCTGGTGAAGTGGTTCATAGACTTAAAGTCCAACAAGTAAGAACTGCATGAACACTTCCACTCCATAGTAAATTGTTAAGATATAGGGTGTTTTGTTTTTAAGAAATAAGTGCATTTTGCAGGGGCCGGAACTCGGTATCGATCAGTTTGATATGCAAACTGTGAAACTTGCAGGTCCTATGGATGGAAAGAAGATAACCCTTTAACTTATACATTTATGAAAGAATATATCTATTTGCACACTTGTTAACATTTACTGTCTACTATGCTGTTGATAGGGCTCCTGCATGACATAGGCCATGGGCCATATAGTCATTTGTTTGAGCGTGAGTTTCTTCCCAAGGTTCTCAATTCATCTGAATGGTAATATAGCTGAGCTGGCTGCCTATTTACCAGTTGCAATGATTAAAAGTTTTAATTCTCTGGTTTCTACTTTATTTTATTTATCATTTATGTTGACTTTTGACCAATATCGGTTAAACTACTGTAAATGTGGATATATAGGTCTCATGAGCAAATGTCAGTAAAGATGGTGGATCATATTATTGATGAGCATAATATTGATATTGATGTTGAGGCCGTGAGTAGAGTCAAGGTCAGTTGATGAAATCTTTTAATTGATATTGGTTTTCTAGTTTTCAAGGCTTTTGTGCAAGTTTCTGCTGAGCTTGCTCAAAGTAATTTGTTTGTTTGCCGCTAGATGGTTATAACGGGAAAAACTTATTGACTCTTGGGTTCATTTATTTTGACTCGAAACTCTTATGTGGACAGGAAATGATACTTGCAAGTTCAAAATATGCTACGATCAAAGTAAGCCTTATTTGTAAAACTGTGGTGATTTTTAATTGTATTGATAACAACGCCTGTTTCATTGTTTAGATCACATGTTCAGATTGTATCTATTATTTCTGTAATCTCTAGAGCTCGAAAGAAAAGCGTTTTCTCTATGATATTGTGGCAAATGGTCGAAATGGAATTGATGTCGACAAGTTAGTAACTCCAACCTCAAAAGAACTATATTGCTCTTTCGAACTCTTTCCTTCTCTCCATGATATTCTTCTTCTTCGTCCTTGACTGCTCGTTTGACATAGTAACCGTGATATGGAAAATCTGTGCTGCAGATTTGATTACATTATCCGGGACTCACGAGCTTGTGGTGTGGGATGCAACTTTGAGTATCAAAGGTTGTCAAATTTGCTTTACGATTCATTTCATCTGTATGTAGGATATTAGCAGCGTGGTAAAGATATTTACTGAAATACAATTATCTTGCAAATGATTATTTTTGTGATGTGTGCAGGTTAATGCAGAGTATGAGGGTTATGGGAGATGAAATATGCTACCGATACAAAGAACGTAAGTATCTAAATGATAAACGATGAACACTCTTTTCTTACATATTGGTATTTTTTTTTTTTTTACTATTGTACCATTCAATTATAATACCAGATCGAACCATCCACAAGTTGTTTGCCACACGAGCTGATTTGTTCAGAACCGTTTATACTCATGCAAAAGTAAAGGTATTTTATCCTACACATGGACTCGAATTTATTTTTTTTTTATTTATTTTTTTTTTTTTTTTGTGTTTCTTGTCATAGCTGCTTTTTTTCATTTCATTTAACCTTAATGATCCTATGGATTTCTTCAGGCTATAGACCTGATGCTTGTAGATGCATTAATCAGTGCAAATAGTCATTTAAAAATAGCATCTGACATACAGGATCCTTCGCAATATTGGAAGGTTTGGGGACTTTTATAGTACATAATATAATTAAATACTGATTACTGCTCTACTGAGATTTTTCCTTTGCTCGTGCAGTTAGATGACACTATCATTAAAACCATCGAGACATTACCCGACCAAGAACTCAAGGAAGCTCGGGACTTAATTCTTCGCATACGCAGGAGGGATTTATACCAGGTTTTTTTTACATATATTTAGTTACCCGATGATTTTTATTTTTCTCTCCGTTCTTTATTATTCTTCAACTTTGGATATTTCATGAAATATGGCGTGCTCACAACATACTACTCCACTTTCTGAAGTACTGTAATGAGTATGCTGTTCCAAAAGACAAATTGGAGAATTTTAAGAATGTCACAGCGCAAGATATTGTTTGCTCACAGGTACTCCATTTGTGTTATTATTGGTACTTAACGAATAGCTCGAGTTTTATTTCTGCACCTTATTTTTTATGTGATTATTGGTTATTATGTAGAAAAATGGTGGAGTGACACTCAGAGAAGAGGATGTTGTGGTAAGCAATGTTCGGATTGATTTGGCTCGTGGGAGGCATAATCCTCTCGAGAGGTGCTTCTTAATCCTATGTGATCACGCATTTTCTTGCTCATATATATTTGAATCAAGTTCTGAATGTCTAATACAAACATTTCTCTCTATTGTATATACGCTTTCCTTTCTCTCCAGCGTCATGTTTTTCCAGGTACGATAAGTTAAATACTGCTTTCCAAATTCCAATTTATTATTTATAAATTTATTTATTTTCTTTTTTTCTTTAAATTTCGGTTCAGGATTATGATAGTGAGGATAAGTTCCCGATAAGTGACGATCGCGTAAGTCACCTGCTTCCGACATCTTACCAAGACATGATTGTGCGAGTGTACTCCAAAAAGCCTGAATTGGTCTTCTGCTCAACTCAGCTTTCAAAATCATTTAAATTTCGAGTATTACACTGTACTATGTTGTAACATTTATTACTTTTGTGCAGGTTGGACTGATTTCTGATGCTTTCGAGAATTTCCAGTTGAAGGCATATGGGATCAAAGCGCAAGTACATGCCACGCCGGAGAAGAAAAAACGAGCCGGAAAATAACTGCTCATCATTGATTTTACACATCAACTAATCCAGTAAGACACTGCAATTGCATTTTCAGCTGGATGTTATGTACTATATTGGTGTGTGTATATATGACATGTCATACGTATATTTGGCGTGCATCTGTATATTAAAGGCTTGCTCTCGTGACGGTTTTTATTGTTTTTCAAGTGAAATATAATTGGCTTGGTGTATTATATCATAAATTAAGGTGTGTTTTGATTGGTTTAGAGTATTAATTACTCTAATTATAGTGTCGAGTAATGCTACAAGTACATAATGTTGTACATAACACTCATATTGAGTGGGACCCACCAGAAATAAGAAATTAAGTGGACCCTTGTGAGTGTTATATACACCTCTGTACATTTATTATGTACTTGTAGCATTTTTTTTAGTTTTTACATTATACTCAAATGCATTTATTGGATCATGAGATAAAACAATTTAGTATTGATTTTACGTGAATACTCTAATTTGTGAAATCAACACCACACTTATTTGTTGAAATTGTAAATACAACAAATATTCTGGATTTTAGTATGTCTCGTACATGATTATAGCTCATTTGACTTGTGCAAAATATTCGTCACAATCGAACATTTACAAATTCAACAATCTTCGAGTTACTTAAACTCAATTTTGAGTTGCATAAATTAAATTGTCCCACATTTCAATTTTCCATTCAATCTAAAATGCTTTTGAATTTTTTTCTAAGTTTTTCACCCATTACAAATATAGAACGTGTAACATCAGTGCAAAACTAATTTTTTTCTTACAACAACAGCAGGCAGATTCAAAGAGGGATAAACACGCTATGGATCCCTTTATAAACAAAATTTTCCTAAATTGATAATTATTAGGCTAAACCTCACTTTGTATAACGTCAAAGATAATTCTTCTCAAATTATTAAATTCATTCTCAAATTTCAAATAATATTTTCAAAATATTTAATTTTTGTATATTACTATTGATATTTATAAAATTAATACTATTCGTATATTCAATTTTAAGGTTGTAATAAAATTAGTTATATATTAATAATCTATACACATAAAAAATATCAAGATAAATATTTATTTTTTTTCAATTTGGTGATACGTCACCCTATTTTATTTTCTTGTAACTTTGTAAAAATGTTTTAGAAAAATCACCATATCTTTCGTTAGAATGTTCTTTTCCAAATCTAATTACTTAAAAAAAAAAAAAAAAAAAAGTTGTATGAATATCCATGAAACATTCTACATATGTTTGTTGCCTTTATTATCGATAATGTTTCACATCTGTTGGATTGTATTCATTATTTATATATATTTCATAATTGTTGGAATGGATTTATTATGGTAAGTATATAATTTATTTTTAAAACAATAATTAATAATTATAAATAAAAGATTATCTAGCTTAAATAATAAAAATATTAGTAAAACATGAAAAACTTGATAAATTAGATATATATGAAATTAGATTTGTATAAAAAGGTAGACCAAAGTGAAAGAAAAAGGGAAGAGAGGGAAGAAAAGGAAGAAGAAGGGAAAGAAGGGGAAGGACGAGATGAGAAGGGAAAAGCAAGAAGAGGAGGAATATAGTAAATAAATCAAAATTTTTTTAATTTGATTTAAATTTGAAGAGGGAAAAGCAAGAAGAGGAGGAATATAGTAAATAAATCAAAATTTTTTTAATTTGATTTAAATTTGAAGAGCAAGCAAAATATATGCTGTTGTTATTTTTTTTGGTATATTTATTGAGAGTTTGCTTTATATATATATAATTTTTTATAATAAATTAATTAATTCTTATATAATTAAAAATATTAATAATTATTTAAATTAACACGATAATTGCGAATGTATTTTATTAATTATAAAATCAAAATATTAGTCATCAATTAAATTAATAAATAAATTTAAAATAATATTATTATTCCAATATATTAATTAATATATTTTGTATAATACATTTTATAAATTTTGTATAATGATAAATAAAGTAAATTTAATAATATTTTACTATTCCGTCAAGGTGCTGATTAGTCTCCGTCCTCTGTACGCAAAGTAGGGTGTTTACGGTTCAGATTGGTTCGGTTTTAGCCCAAACCATGACCAAACCAGACCTAACAATTAATTTTTTTTTCTTGTCCATAACCGGATCGGTTTTATTTATTAACCGGCCACAATCCGGACCGCATTGGACGGTCCGGTTTGGCGGTTAACCGGTCAAATCCAAAATCTTTATTTTAGGTTTTCAATTTTTATTTTTTTCATTTTGGGTTTAATTTTTATTTTTCAATTTTGGATCCAAAGAGATTATTTGGGCCTAAAAATTAAGAAAAACAAAAATAATGAAATAAAAAATACACAATTCGTCTCATAAGCATAAAAATACACATTGCGCCCCAGAAAATTAAAAGTTATAGTGTCTTACAAAATTAAGTCAACAAAAAGCAAAAAAATGAAAATGAATGTATATATATTTGTTTTAATTTTTTAATATTTACCCAGTCCGGTTAAACCGGCAGTTTGCCGTCGACCCTCTCGATCTCAATTAGAAAGATTCTCCCGCTTCAGGCAGGTAATCCGTTAATCGGACCGGTTATTCCAGATTTTTTAAAAAAATAACCACCGAATTTTTTAATTTTTTTAACCGATCTGCGGTCCGAATTGACGGTTTTTTTCGACTAAAACCGGACCGTGAACACCCCTAACGTTAAGTCCACGGACTAGGTGCCAATTATTTTCCCGTAGTCATTCACATCTATTCCTATTCATTTAATTATAATTTATATTCTTTCTTATCCATATCATGTAAAAACTAGTATTAATTATGTGCACATGCACAGACTATCGAAAACAAATATATTTTTATATAAAAATATCAATTAAAATAAAAAATATTTAATAGTATATATCACATTTATGATTAAAACTATTACGTTAAAATATTTTTTACTGGATTTTTATACTTCAATAAAAAAAATTATAAACGTAGAATTAAGCATATATTAAGATGAATATTATTATATGAATATAATGAATAATGTATTTTTTGTATACTTTTAATATTATATTAAGAATAAAAAAAATTATTCAAATTAAGTAAAAAAATATAAATTTGAACCTGATAACACAAATCTTATACACTATATAGATTGATTTATTTCGGAGAATTATCATCCATATTATAGAAATAATATTTTTATATAGTAAAATAAATGTAGGTATTAATTTCATAATAAAAATATTTAGTTATTATTAAATATCACAACCACTTGTTAGACATAATAATAAGAATTTTTATTTTTTTTAATGCAGCTAAGGAACCATTGCATTTCAATCAATAGTCCAATGTATAATATTTTATGTATGTTACAACATTTAAAATAAAAAAAATAGCAAATGACATAAGTTGATAAAACTACATTAATCTACCTTATTAATCTACATGATATATGTGTGTGTAGTTCATATAATGGAATCCATACAAATTAGAAACACAAAATAACTGATAATAATTGTCGTAAAATCGGTTTTGTTTTACTAATAATTTTTTAAAAACTAAGCATGAGTAATTTAAAATTCAAATTTCAAATAAATGTACAAAAAAAGAAGGAAAATATATAGTTTTTTATTTTTTTTCAAAAGGAAGATATATAGTTACAATATTATAATTGTTATATAAAATCCTCCCTATATATAATTACAGAATGCGCTGAGCCTACGTGGCTGCTTCTGGTGCTTCGGAATCCTATTTGGCGAAAAATCATGCTTCGTAATTAGGTTTGGACAAATAATATTAATATATTAATAATTTATAATCTAGGTTCGGGTATTCCATAAATATTATTTAGCTAACTTAGGTATTTTAATATCACTTTTACTAATATAACCCTTTAATTATTTGTAATTTTACATAGTGAGACACTAAGTGACTAATATATCCCTAAATTTTGATTTGCTTCCTTCAATAAGCTATTGAATTATAAATGTATTTTAAAAGTAAATAACTTTTGTATTTCTTATCGGTTTTACATATATAATATATCAAATTAATCATCTTTTGATTATCTTCGATTTGACATCCATATTGTATATATAAAATAAATAAAATATATTTATTTTTATAATAATAAAAAATAATAATATTTATTAAAATTCATTAGAAAAATAAAATTATTTCTCATTTGATATATTTATATTTAACGTAGTTATATAGTGTCAGTTAAAAAATTAGTATAATATAACACAAGTAAGTCGCACAAATAAAAAGTATCATAATAAATATATAATATATATATATATATATATATATTCTTATAAAAGGTATTTAGATTTTCAAACTACTTTTTCTTATTAATTTTAAATTTTAAGAAAAAAATTAGCAAGCACTCGTGTAATACACGGGTGTTGTACTAGTATATAATATTAATTATCAAATTAACAAATGGTGTAAGCATATTAATTTTAGGCATAACCGTTACAATTTTCATTAAACATTAGAATATTAATTTGTAACTTGGAGAAGTAAACACAAACAAAACGAAACTTGAAACTTACTAAAAAAACTGAAAATTTTAGGCGGGAAAGTTTTTCTTTTGTAATAAATGAATAGCCTACAATTATATATACTAGTTATAACCCTGTGCACATGCACAGATGTACATAAAATATTATAAGTAATATGTGTGAATTTAATATTAAAATTATAAATGATAAACATATCACATTTTCAAGATATGTGAATTTAATATTAAAATTCTAGATAATAAACATATCACATTTTCAAGATATGTGAATTTAACATTAAAATTCTAGATAATGGACATACCACATTTTCAAGATTTAATCATTAGTAAAAGTAAAATAATATTTATATAAATTATTTGAGTATATATGAATCACTATATTGATTAAAAAAAATTGTGGGTAATGTAATTTTTATAATTTGGAGGGATCATGGTCAAATAATTTACTTGAAAATTTTATTATTATTATTATTA